CATGTATGGGGTATGATGGAAAGAAGGTTGAAAAAGTCACCGCACCCTCCACAAAACATTGGAGGCTCTACGAAACCAAATTCAGATGTCCTGGGACACAATACACCAAGAAGGACAGAGGAGCTTCAACAAATTATTAAGATTAAGGTGGGATATCTCACCTATTTTGCGAATTCCAAGACAAACTTTTAATCACTTTCTATTTATCAGTAGACCTAAAACTAGTGAGAGTATGCTCAAAATTACAGCACTCCTTCTATGTCATTTAGTATACAGCGTGACTTTGAAGTTGAGTCATTAATTTTCAGATAATGATTGTATAAGGAAGATAAACCAAAATATGTGTGTAAAAATAAAAATAAAATTAAAAAAAATGTTACTTTGTTTTATAAAGTATCCTCCCGACAAGTATTTCAGTGCGGACCTGTATTTGATCGTGCGGTCTTGGAGCACCGACATGCCCTCCCCTGTGAGGTCTTAAGTCACCTGATTCACGAGCCCTTTGTACTACATTAACAAAGGCACGAGGGGTTGGTTGCACTCGATTGGGAAACCGATCCGCATAAATCCGTGATGCCGCGGCAGCATTTTGTAAAGACTCCTCCCCCCCGTAAATAAGAATCATGTCCACAAGTTCAGCATTTTCGTAAACATGTGCCATTTTTTATTTCGTTTGAGCCACGCAACAAACACCACTATTCACGCACGCGTTAACAGCTGACTATTGACTGAATACAACTGAATAAAATTGTAGTAAAAACATCGTGATAAGCGTTTCAAATTCTTTCGCCTTTTTGTTTCCGATGCGATGAACCGATAAGGCGGATTATATCCGTTGCTGCCAAACACGAGCACATAATATTATTATTGAGACAGGGCGGTACTCAAACTTCTAAGGGGCTATAACTTTGTTACTTTAATTTTACCAGAAAAATGTTAAAGGAAAAAACATTTCCTTTGATCAGATCTGCTCACTGTTAAAATAAATGACTCAACTTCGAAGTCACCCTGTATAATTTCGTGTACGTTATTCAGGGCTGACCAACTTAATGTGGCCCAAGGGCCACTTAAAAAAAAGAAAATGCAGTTTGGAGGGCCGCATTATAAAATCTTTCTATACAACATTATTACAGAGTTAATGTAAGACTTGTGCATATTTGGGCCGCAAGAAAGGAGTTCGCGGGCCGCATGCGCATGTTGGACAGCCCTGCGTTATATCATCAATAAAACGAAACTTTACAATTATTCCGCAAACCAGGCATATTTTCATCTAATATAACTAGACTAATTATTATTACCACACTAAATAAAAATTTTATTTTGTGTTCAGGTTTCATCATACTTTTTTTTCCTTATTATTTTCGATCCGAAAACAAACACAATTCTAATATAACGTCCATATGAAAAAACCCGTCATAAATAAGTTCAAAAGAAATAAAAATGATTTTGCGATAAATCGGGTAGGTATATGAAACCAATGACTAGCTGATAATTTCAAGACCTACCTAGGAAATTCTGTTTTCCTTTTTTGAGTTAACTAAGGTTTGGCAATGTCAATGTATGACATATTATACATTTTTGTAATTAGAATTAAAAATTCTGTTCAACTGTGCAAGAATCCAATAAGGAGTCCATAAGAAAAAATAAGGTTGATGTGGGAGGACAAGAGCATTATGATGAAAGCCATGAAAAAATTAAAAAAATTAAATTTTTGAAAATTCACTTTTTTCCGTCTATCTGCGGAAGTACTTTAAATTTAAGACTTTCTAAGAGGCAATTTGTTAGGTACCTAAATACGCACCTTTGCCCCCATTCGAGCAACTTCATATCTCTTACTGTTTCCGAGATCCCAATCGTGAATATGAAATAAACGGATATAAAACAATATTCCTAAAATATTTTTGTCTGTTTCAGCGTATATCCTGAACGATAAATTTGATACAAGTGCGGAGTTATCAAATTTACGTTTCCATGTTACGTATTTTTAAAGTAGGTTAATTTATTGTACCAATATGCTTTATTTGTAAATAAATACTTGTTTCAATTATTTTGTTTTTACCCCTATAACCTGGCCAAACGATGTAGAGATAAAATCAGGTTTTCTGTGACAGTAAAATCTGAATAACGATTCTCGGGTCGTAGAGAGGTAGTGCCAAATAGAAATTAGACGTTATTGTTAAATCTGTAGGATATAAATATAACAGATAGGTCAATTCAGATGCACAAAGTAATATGTACAAAAAAAAACAGATTTACGATATAAAAATGACAAACAATACGTAAGTATAAACAATAGAATACAAATCACAGAGATTTCAAGTCCATCAGATGGACTTAGTAAAATCAATAAATCCAAGCATTGTATAAGGAATGCACTTAATTAGCAGTGCTCTCAACCGATGTCTAAAATTTATGTAGCTTTTCATCTGACAAATATATACTGGAGGATGGTTGAAGAGGCGATATCCAGCATTATCAGGCGACTTTTTAAAGTAGTTGTGATTGATCTTGTCTGAAAATATTTTATTTGTTTCTCGTTTCATAAGTGTGGTTAAAGCTACTGTTGAGGTATATTTCTCTATTGAGATGTAAATGGAATAATAGTTTGTAAAGATATATGGCTGTTGCAGTAAAGATGTTATTGTTATTAAATACAGCTCGACAGAAGTCATTATAATTAAGACTGTATGAGCCTTGGTATTCTTTTTTGATGTATAAGTACTCTTGATATCTCTGCGGACTGCTTCCGTACCAGAATGTTATACACAATAGTGACTTACAATCAATACTGTCTTTAATGCGTAATACAAAAAAAGCTTTATTTATTCTTTTAGAGATTGTCTCAATTTCTTCATCTCTTGTAAGGTCACTGTCCTGTGGTATTCCTAGAGAAACGGCTCTCGATTCTTCCAGGATTCCTATGTTGTTAACATTTATCTTGAAAGGAGATCATTTTTTACTTTTTGTGTTGAAATGCAGTATGTATGAATTCTCAATGTTTAGCATAAGCTTGTCATTGTTACTCCAATTCTGTATGTCATGTTTTGCACTTCTCTTCATCCTCTGAATCACCAACAACAAGAGCTGTTTTATCATCTCCGCATAAAATAATATTTTCTTTACTTATACACTTTAGTAAATCATCTACATACAGTAGAAAGATGAGTGGGCTATGCACACTCCCTTGTGGTGTACCTAGGTCCAAATCAAATGTATCAGAACGGGTCTCCTATACCCTGATAATGATCCTACGCTGACATAAAAACAAGTAGATCCAATCGTTTATTTGTTGTAAATTTTGTGGTGTAAGATTTTTACGATATAGAATGATTTCGACAATTTAAAAAATATGGCGGTTACATACTTATTTTTATCCAAAGCACTGCAGATGCTTTGGACAAAATCGGTTATATCCGTTTCGGTTGAAAATCTCGGCCTAAATTCATGCTGACAATGTGTTAATATGTTGTCAGTCTCTATGAATTTGAATAATTAACTATACAATACCTTCTCTAGTATTTTGGAAAATACGCTCAGTATTGTATATTTTTCATATCCTTTATTTAGTGGGTGAGGGCATGATGTTAAATGTTGCAGCGCCCAGCGCAGAGAAAGTAAAAATTACATATCAAATAAATGACGCACATCTTCAACGTATTCTGGGGAGCACAATCCCCCCAAGATCACTCGTAGCTATAAATGAAAATTACGGAAATATGTCGCTGATCTTCAAATTTCCTTTAACTGTAGTTGGTCGTAGTGTTCTTGGGAGAAAACAGAGCGGGGCAAGGAGGAGATACTAGGCAATGATGGACCCGGAGGACTTCTCGGACATAGCTGAGGATGTCATACATATGGACATGTTCCCCTATTTCGACTTTGCCTTCTGCACGCTTGGTGCTTTGGATGTTAGAAAGGATCTGGGAAGCGGTATGTTTGACCAAATTAATCTCCATGTTTTTCTGGCCTCTAAAGGAAGGAATGACAAAAAAACTAATGAAACTTTTTCATTGTCACTTTTTAGGCACTATATTATGGTGCCTTTAAAATTTGTGCCCGACGTTTTGTTTTTGAGAAACCATCATCAACTTAATTTTTTATATGATCAAAAAACAAACTACACCCTGTTTCTGACAATACCTTTTTCTACGAATTCAACGTGTTATATTTGTTTTCTTACATTTTTAAAATAATTATTATTTATTTTGTTTAAACACAACCACGTAAGTTATATTGCTGTCATTTAACACTTTATTAATTGATATAATAATTGCATTGAATTCCTTTTTACTAGCTCATCACTTTTGGTTTTATTAACGATTTTATCTTAATTATGAGTCAGTCATTCAATCTCAGTCACAGCGTACACACACACTGTAATTCCGGTCCGGTTCATGTACACTATTGTTGGAACCAAATAGTTTTTTAAAAACGAAGTACATAATTGGCAGTAGACCGTCGGTGCCAACCTTTGAATGTGACCTTGAAACGTGACCTTGAATTTTCGAGTGACCTTGAAGTGTAACCTTGAAATGTGACTTTGAAGTGCGACCTTGAAATGTGACTTTGAGTTTCCGAGTGACCTGGAAGTGTGACCTTGAACATATATGACCTCGAGCACTCTCGACCTTGAGTGGATGTGACCTTGTAGGAGTGAACGACCTTGAGATGTAGAAGGGACGACCTTGGAAATATATGCTTAAATTGTGGAACTCGCCGAGAGAAGTCAGCTCTGTAGTTGCAAGTGTCGCAAATGGTACGGTACTAGTGGGATGCAGAATATAATATTGTCGAAGAAAAGTAGGTGTTTAGTCTGTCAAACGGAGAAATTGTTGTAGCATGTAAAGGAGTTTCGCTGGATTCGTAGGTGGTGCTGTTGCGGGACATTTTTAGTTTATTGTTGGACGTGTAATTCAACACCGTCCCCATAAAATAGGGTGGACCTGCGAAACCTATGACGAAAATCATTGGTGTTGGAACCGGGACTCGCCATAGAAGTAATGTCAGTGGGGAGTGGATTCCTAATTAAATGGAGTGAGCTGCAAGATGGATATACAGTGCGATATCCATATGAATTGATATATGAAATAAGTGTAATAAGTAATGCATATGTAGAATGGAGCGTGTGTCAAGAAAGTTATGCGAGGCGTGTAGAATGGAGCGAAGACCGTTGTCAGCAATATTACTACATTGGTACCACAATGATGGAATCAATAGTATGTGAGAGGTGTATATGCGACGGATATGTGAATAAGCTCCACATACATAGTAAGAACTTAGCAAAGTGTGTGTACTGCGAAAGACGAATAGCATCGAATACTATACGTAAGTGTGACAACATTCCGCTGGGAGGCAAGCATCTGTATTGCAGCCGAAGAAAGAAAATGGGAAAGTTAGGAGGAAAAGGAGATCGGGTGTGGCGGTAAGTGAAGGAAAAACAAATGTGTGGATAAGTTGAGAGAATAATGAGTGTAAGGTCGTAGAAGCAAGACAGATAGCTAAAAAATTCAAATATCGGTCATTTGAGAGAAATTACAGTGAAAAACTTGAATTGGGTTGGGTGTTATTATCTTAAAGCTAATATACTTTACAGAATCCTCAAAACCTACAACCTTACAAATAAGATCTTAAAAGGAAATCCTTAAAGCTAACTCCTTAAAACTAATACACATTAGAGGCTGATATACCCCGAATCGCTAGATGGATCGTCCAGATCGCACACGAGATTGTCATCCCGAAACGCTTCAGGAATGGCAACCTCAGGTGGGTCGTCAATAGGAGCAAGGCCGACGTGGAGCTCATCAAGCTCGACCTAGAATCGCTCTCGGACGAAGATGCCTCCCCCGCACCCTCCCTCTCATCTTCGTCGGCAGACTCGATATAGACAACGTCGTTTAACAAAGCATTGCCAACATCGGGTGCAGCACCTCCCGCAATTACGGTAGAGGCTGTGCTGTCGAAGAGGAGTGAACTAGCCAAGCCATCTTCATGGAAGATATACAGATTATTTGGACCTTGACCATCCATGACGATGACTGGGGAGCGACGGAATGAAAAGACGACTATAGTGAGTATATAAGGATGCTCTCCTCCTCCGTCACAAGATCAGGATAATTCGAGGTCATGATGCTATAACGGACAAAGAAAGTATGGGTGGGTAGCAATATTCTTAAGGATGAAAGTCGAGGTCACGAAATTAGCATTGGATAATAAATGTAAAACTTAAACGCGATCAGTAAACTTTAATGAAGTGATAAATCTTGACTGTTAATGCATGCTAGAAATCGTGAAAGTCGAACGGAAGAATCCGTGATTGTGAGGTAGGAGGGGAAATGCTTGTATATAAGTGCTCCTAGTCGTACTTGTCACTGCAGTCCAAACACTTCAGGTTGAAAGCATCAGTCTTTAACATTGTGTTCTTTGTTCAATTGCAGACATGTGTTCAAGACCGTGTCTGTGTACCTTGGAGAAGAAGTGCTCGTACTGCGCATTTACGAACAGTCAGCGCCTGATTCTGGACAAACTGTTAAGGCCCAGTGTATATTGCAAAATGTTCAAGTTGTACCACCACGCGAAACCGTTGACCCTTCGCTGAACGGGCACCCACAAACGATGGCTAGTACTTCGGGAATTGATGAGTTATCCATCGAAATTGATAGCATTGGCTCGCAAACCATGCTTAACAATTACATCGCCCTAAGTCAACAGAACTCCTCAAATGAGATCGATATTGAGGCAGTGTTAGCATCCATCAATCCGGACATTGATATGTCTACAACGATGAATGCATACAATGCTTGGCCATCGTTTGAGATGAGTTTGTTGGGAGCTCAGCCAGGGCCATCCATGTCGAGAGCCACCACAACACAGCAAGAGCCATCGGTGTCTGCCGCAATCGCGAGTGATCGATGTGATGTGGACGTTGCACTATATCGCGACACCTACATCGAAGAGTTGCCGTTCACGCAACTTGAACGGGACCCGACAGAACGTAGTGTTGTGATTGAGCAACTCAATCGCGACACGTGGATCGAAGAGTTGGCGTTCACGCAACTAGAACGACTCGAAACGGAACGGTGTGCAGTGACTGACGAACTTGATATGTAGAAATGGGACAAAAGAGGAAGCCTGCAAATAGGTTAAATTAATGTACAGCAGCTAAAAAGTTTTTTTTTGTGTCAGATGCCACTGGAGAACGCGAGGTGCAGAAATATATATATATATATATATATATATATATATATATATATATATATATATGTTATATGCACTCAAAACAATGGACTTACTATTCCATACAATGTTGCACCAGACGCTAGCTCAGCAACAACTTTATGTTGAATACCCGGTTAGACTCCGTCAAGTCAAGTAATTGTAAACGTTTGTAACGGACAGTAGCTACTGCCCTCAAATAAATTTTTTAAAAAGTAAAGTTGAATTTAAATGATATAACAATTGGTGTCAGAGAAGTGGGATAGCTTCAACGCATTAGAACACGCGAACGCTCACTAGTGTGGTGGATGTCTATCCCTCGAGCTACAAAGGACCACGAGCCTACAAGTAAGAAGAAGAAATAAGAAGAAAGAAAACGACCCAACTGCAGAGAGTCTACTTGGAAACATCGAAAGAGATCCGAGAGCCTCCTCTGGACAACACGACTGCCTCCTGATGTACCACTGGTAACGTACAATTGAATCTACTATCGTTTGCAATTATCTCTGTTTTTCTATATGTTTGCGTATTTATTGAGTGATTTTTATATTTTTCGCAACATTTTCTATATTTTTCACATTTATTTACGACCTTTTACGTATTTTCTATAACTTTTACGCGTTTTCCCATATTTATTCGTATATTTTGCGTACTATTGTCGAATTCCTGAAACATATTTCCAATCACCATGACAGAGCACGGATCAGATGATTACCAAGCACCTCAAGTTCTTGATAACGCTCATGCAAAGATCGAGCCTTATAGACTGTCCGAAATATTCTCAATCGTCCCTGAATACGATGGCAACCCGATATTGCTTTCGACATTTATCAACGCATGTAGAACAGCGCACCAAATGGCCGTCGAGGAACAGCGTCTCCTCGTCGTCCTACATATAAAAAATAAACTTCGCGGACGAGCAGCAGAACTCGTCAATTCCCGTAACTCTTCGACATGGGAAGACATACGCTCTCTCCTTGAAACATTTCGGAGATCTTCGGGATCTCACATCCTTAATTGCTGATCTGCAGCATACGCGTCAACTACCAAATGAATCCCCACTAACCTTTGCATCAAGACTTCAAACTCACGCGGCGAAATGCATTCAGCCGTCAATCGACAAAACATGAACCGAGAGCAAAAAGCTGCTCAAAGTTCATTGATAGAGACCATGACCCTAAACTGTCTCCTTACAGGACTAGATTCCAAAATTGGCCCGATTGTAAGATCATGTCAAACAACAGATATCCTTACTGCAGTCTCTTTTATCAAGCGCGAGCTAAAATTATCATATCTTGAAAGACAAAAATTTTCTAGAGCTCCTAACTCTAATCAAAATTCTTCCATTAAGAAACCAGGTCCGAGAGTGTGCAATTTCTGCCACCGACCAGGTCATTTAGCAAATGAGTGCCATCGAAGACAACAGCTGTCACAAAGTATTCCGAGACCAGTTTTCCAGCCCCAATCATTTTCGCCTCGAACTAACCCTAACCCTCCAACACAAAACAATAGGCCCCCCAGTTCCAATCATTACCATCACAGACCCCCTGTTATTAGGCCAAATGTTCCTAATACGAATATACCAAGACCTTCTGTTATACAGCAGAATCCGAGCTTCCAAAACCCTAACTTCCAAAGAAGTCCGACCAAGCAATTCCACAAATCGAATCAACTACGTAGCCCCAGATTGCTACGAATATTCCGAGTACCCTGAACCCGACCTTTACAATACAAATTATGCCAGCGAGTATGGTACAGAAACCCAATACCCTGCTTACACCCCCTCGCAGTATGACGAATTCCCTGACCCTGGTAACAATAATGATTTCTGTTACGAATACGATGATACCGCTGATTATAACCTGCAGTATCAGGATTTTCGCGAACGTTCTCCGAAAGAAGAACCGCCTGTGAAGCCCAACGACGATTCCGATCATATGATTGCGAGCTTGCAAAAGCTCAATGACAAAGACCCCCATACAACGTCAACTCCCGACCAAATGTTCGTTTAGATAAACATATTATAGTCCCGTCGACAATTCTCTCCGTCAGCCCAAACAACCTATACTACATCAACGACGCGACAGGAAAATTCAAAATCCTTATTGACAGTGGTGCTAAAATTACACGAAACGTGTTACCGAAAATATCTCCATCCGAGGTATTACGGACGAAAACATTTTTATCACAGAAGCAGTTTTAGTTCCCTTTGCTCCCAACGATTATCACAAAATTTATATTCACGATTTAGACATGGCTTTCGATGGCCTTCTTGGTTCAGATTTCCTCGAGCACTACGATTGCATTATCGATTTGAAAAATCGTCAATTAATCACAAAATTCAAAACCATCCCTCTTTTCAAAGTAGGTGATGAAGAAAACACCCTAACTTCCGATTTCAAAGGAAATCCCAAACTTCTAATTTCAAAGAGAATTCCCAAGTTCAAAATGTCATCTCAGTCCCTCCTAGAGTTGAACAGGTTGTCAAGCTTAAGTCAGAGCTTAAAAATACCGAAGCCATTCTTCTGGCATGCGAGGTAGAAAAAGTCCGTCTACCCAGCCCCATCGTCAAAATCAATTCTAACGGCGAATTTCTCACTACAGTCTTGAACTGTAATGCCATTCCTAAAAATGTGACTCTGCCCAAATTAGAATTTGAACCCTTTAATGAAACGTCTGTCAACAATTTTACCATATCCCTGAAGAACAAGAGTCAGTATAACCGTAGAGATGCTATTCGAGATCAATTACGTCTTGAACATCCTAACGATGAAGAGAAAGAACTTATTACCAACCTTTGTCTAGAATTTTCCGACATTTTCTATTTAGATGGTGACAGTTTGTCGTTCTCCAACGAAATTAAACATTCCATTGACACTACAAACAACAAACCAATTTTTACTAAGTCTTATCGCTACCCTCATGTCCATAAACAAGAAGTGAAAGACCAAATTTCCAAACTGTTAAAACAAGGAATTATTGAACCCTTGGAATGCCCCTGTCTGGGTAGTCCCAAAGAAAATGGACGCTTTAGGCAAACAAAAATGGCGTATGGTGATCGATTATCGTAAACTTAATGAAATCACCATTGACGACAAATACCCGTTGCCAAACATTTCCGATCTGCTAGATCAATTAGGGAAATGCCAGTACGTTAGTACACTGGATTTAGCATCTGGATTTCACCAAATTGAAATTAATCCAGCCGATGTTGCCAAAACCGCTTTTTCGGTTGAGAACGGACACTATCAATTCTTGAGAATGCCTTTTGGTCTCCAGAACGCTCCTGCCACATTCCAACGTGTTATGGACAACATCTTGATGGGTATACAAA